CATACACATTGATAATAAAACATGACTGAATGTTCACACCCCATTCAAGACACACCCCAAGATAACCTAACCTAGAAAATGAGAAGATCATCTTTCCCTCCTTAAGTTTAACCTCTTGAATTTCCAAAAAATCTAAATAAAAATCCCAAACTAGATCTCTCACATTCCTCTTCTTAAGGATCCCCCTAAACCTATAATATTGAAATACCTTATTGAACACCTTCTCTATCCCCAACCATTATCAATCACAAAATAATCACTTTAAGGGTAAGAAAATCCAACCTCTTTAAATCTAACTAAGACCTGAAAAGCATCATGGTGACCCGAATTTGACTTAAAAAGGTTATTGTTATTAATTCATTTTGATATAACTTTCTTTTCCACCCCTAAAATAGGAAAATTGATTCAATGAAAAAGAAATGCTTCACTCCATGTCTAAAATGAAAAATCTAAGAAACAAAGGAAAAATTTCCATTCAACATCTTCTACCACGAAATTCCCGAAATGGATTTGTTTCTCCATGTTGAGGTTAATTTGGAATAAGAAATTTTGAATTCCGAAACTCAAACACTATTCTACATCAACAGAAAGACACACTCATCAAACTCAACATTGTTCCATGCTATTCCATTCCCATCTTCTCAACAAACTCAAACTCAAATTCAAATTCAAATTCACCAATAACACTCTCTTTTCTCTTTCATTTTCTTCATCTTCAAACCCTCAAACTCACCCAAACTTTCTTCATCTCTGCACTCATTCCCAAACCCTTTCACAAACAAAACAACTCCATGCCTTTGCCATCCTCCACGCTTTCCTCCCTCACAGTGTCTCCATCTCCGCTTCTCTCATTCTCCATTACGCCACCTTCGGACACCCAAAAACCTCCCTTTTTCTCTTCCAAAACACTGTTCCATTTTCCCGTACTGCTTTCTTGTGGAACACGCTCATCCGTGCTTATTCCGTTGCTGGTGTTTTTGATGGGTTTAGTATCTATAACACCATGGTTCGGTCTCGTGTTAAGCCTGATGATCACACCTACCCTTTTGTTTTAAAGGGCTGTTCTGATTATTTGGAGATTGATAAGGGTAGGGAGGTTCACGGGGTTGTGTTTAAGTTTGGTTTTGATAAGGATGTTTTTGTTGGGAATACGCTTTTGATGTTGTATGGTAATTGTGGTTTTTTTGTTGATGCGATGAAGGTGTTTGATGAAATGTTTGAAAGGGATAAGGTTTCTTGGAATACTGTTATTGGTTTGTGTTCTGTTCAGGGTTTTTACGAGGAGTCACTTAGTTTTTTTAAAGAGATGGTAGCTGCTGCTCCGGTTGTTAGACCAGATTTGGTTACTGTTGTTAGCTTGTTGCCGGTGTGCGCTGACAGTGAGAATGTGGTTATGGCGAGAGTTGTGCACGGTTATGCTTTGAAGGTTGGTTTGTTGAGTCATGTTAAAGTTGGAAATGCGTTGGTTGATGTTTATGGGAAATGTGGGAGTGAGGAGGCTTGTATGAAAGTTTTTGATGAAATGGATGAGAGAAATGAGGTTTCGTGGAATGCTATTATTACTAGTTTTTCTTTTAGGGGGTTCTTTATGGATGCTTTGGATGCCTTTAGGTCGATGATTGATGCAGAAATGAGACCAAACCCTGTCACTATTTCTAGTATGCTACCTGTATTTGGAGAATTAGGACTTTTTAAGATGGGAATGGAAGTCCATGGGTTTAGTTTAAGGATGGGTATTGAGTCTGATGTTTTTATTGGCAACTCTTTGATAGATATGTATGCGAAATCGGGATTGTCGTGCAAAGCGTCTACTATATTTAACACAATGGGAGAAAGAAATGTTGTGTCATGGAATGCTATGGTTGCAAATTTTGCTCAGAACAGGCACTATTTTGTAGCTGTAGAATTAGTGAGGCGAATGCAAGCTCATGGAGAAACCCCCAACAGTGTAACCTTCACCAATGTTCTTCCAGCATGTGCAAGATTAGGTTTCCTGAATGTTGGAAAAGAAATTCATGCCAGAGTAGTTCGGACTGGATGCGCCTTTGATTTGTTTGTCTCCAATGCTCTGACTGACATGTATTCGAAGTGCGGACGTTTAAGTCTTGCTCGAAATGTTTTCAATATTTCTGTCAAGGATAAAGTTTCCTACAATATACTAATTATAGGCTATTCTCAAACAACTAACAACTTAGAGTCTCTAAATTTGTTTTCAGAATTGAGACTCTCCGGCATGATGCCCGATATTGTTTCGTTCATCGGTATCATATCTGCTTGTGCAAATCTTGCTTCAATAAAGCAAGGTAAGGAGATTCATGGGCATCTGGTAAGAAAGCTTTTCCATACTCATCTTTTTGCAGCAAATTCCCTTTTGGATTTGTATACCAAGTGCGGTCGAATCGATCTAGCAACTAAAATCTTTGACCGTATTCAACACAAGGATGTTGCCTCATGGAATACTATGATTTTGGGATATGGTATGCTTGGTGAATTGGACACTGCAATCAACCTCTTTGAAGCAATGAGAGACGATGGTGTGGAATACGATTCAGTTTCGTTCATTGCGGTTTTATCAGCATGTAGTCATGGAGGTCTAATTGAGAAAGGGAATAAATACTTTAAGAAAATGAAGGATCATAATATTGAGCCAACACATATGCACTATGCTTGTATGGTTGATATTCTTGGAAGAGCAGGACAAATTGGAGAAGCTGCAAACCTTATTAGAAACATATCTTTTGAACCTGATGCTAACATATGGGGTGCACTGCTTGGAGCTTGCAGGATTTATGGGAATGTTGAATTGGGGCATTGGGCTGCTGAACATTTGTTTAAGTTAAAGCCTGACCATTGTGGTTACTATATTCTGCTTTCAAATATGTATGCTGAAGCTGGAAGATGGGATGAGGCAAATAAGGTGAGGGAATTGATGAAGTCAAGGGGAGCTAAGAAAAATCCTGGTTGTAGTTGGGTTCAAGTTGGAGACCAGGTTCATGCTTTTGTAGTTGGTGAGAAAATAGAGAGCTCAGATACTGAATTTTGGCTATCAGAAAGTGGTTGAATATTTGTTGTAGGAGGAGCCTGAGAGTGTTGTCTATACATCATGTAAGTTGAAATAATTATAATGTTAATTAAAGGTTTTATGGTTGCATAAGCAACCAAGGATCTCTGATTGAGCTGGAATAGACCCCTCTCATTTCAACCAAGTGTTATTGAGTAGTACTAATTTGATATTTTAAACTTTTTTTTTTGTTAAATTGTTTTTAGAACAAGCTAACAAACAAGAAGTCACTAAATGATATTAATGACTTAAGTGCTTATTAGATTCTCTTAATACCTAAAAAGAAATTATGGTTAAGTGTTTTAATTTAAGTTGTAAGTTGTTAAATGAAAATAGTTTTTGTATAATATATTTTTTCAAACATTCAGACAACTGTTTGCATTATAAGTTAAAATAACTTGTCAAAAAAGACAATTTAAATATAACAATTTTATATTTGACTATAGTCTAGTGATGCTTAGCGTGTGTTTGATTTTGCATACGAGAACAAAGGTTTATTTTGGCTAAATTATTTATTGTTATAGATGAATTGAAGATAAAATAATTAATATTTTTATATATTTAAGTAAGAATGAATTAAATAATAAACTAGAGTGTGGAATTAAATTTTAGATAAAAACTATAGTATTTATCTATAAGTTAGAATCATATAGGAAATAAAATCAACTCATCTCAAAGGCAATTAAAAATATTTAATTTTAAATAAGTTTAGAAGAGATCGACACTTAGGTCAATTGATATTATGATATATGAGTGAGTAGGAGAGAAACATACACGTGCAGACTTGAGAGAGATTTTTCCATCGATGAGACTAAGGAATGCATGTTTTAATGTGAATCAAATAGCTATGAAAACCGCTTCAAGTAAAACGATCAAGTATGAAAAAATATGTTCCGAAAATTAACATGTTTTCATACCATTTTTCTTTGACACTTTTGATTTTATAACACTATAAACCGTGAATCTTTTACTGAGAATATAAAAACTTATGAATATTAATGTTTTATCTCATAGGAAAATGAATATAATATAATATTAAGAGAATTGGTTTTGGCATCCTAAAATGATTACGGTGTAATTTGTTGTTCGTTTTTCTATTATTTTTGTATAATCTTGATTAGATATATTTTTTTTGATATTTAATGTATAACTTGTTTAATTAATAATAAGAATGAAAGATCAATTTGTTATTTTTATTTGTTTTATTTTCTTTCTTGTCTTGTCTTGTGCTAAACTCTAATAAATAGTAGCATTAGAATCCACTAATCTAGTAATGGTTTTTAGTTTTACGTCCACATTATGGAATAGAAAATGGAATCTTATACATTATCCAATTTAAAAAGAAGAAAAGTCAATTAATTAAATTAAATTGTAATTATAAGTCAACAAAAGTAGGAATCTGCAGACAAAATCCGAGTTGATTCTTTGCCTCCATCAATCTGATTCTAATGGAATGTAACATATTCTTCACTAAAGCCAAAGCCTCTATCATTTTCCCACTTCTTCAGAGCTAGGTAACTATCCTAAAGCCTCTATACTTTTCTGTCTAGTATTTTTGTTGCTTTTGGTTTATGGATTTCAAAGTAGCCTTTTCAGTTCTTTGTACATACTTAGGCTTTTGACTTGAAATTCCCAATTGGTTATTGTTTCTAATTTTTCAGGATATGCACTTTCTCTTGTATGTTTGATATCACCTTATCATGTTGCATAAATTTATGTGGTTCTATTTCTACCCTCTTTGGTGCTTATCCTTTATGTGCCTTTTATAGCAATAGGGAATAACTTATCATTTTGGTGTCTGAATTTTTACTATGTTTATTGAAGGATGTCACTATCCAACACTCACATGACACTTTCTCAAATTTTGAGGACTAATTCTTCATCATGTTTTCAGGATTTCTGTGAGATTTCCTCCTTGATTACTTCATTTTCAGAGAAAATGTATTTAGTGGAGAGCAAGGGGGGTGCCATAGGGTGCATGCTGTTGGCTCTATTCTTTTTGGGGACATGGCCTGCTGTTTTGACTCTGTTAGAAAGACGAGGCCGTCTTCCTCAGCATACATACCTTGATTACTCAATCACCAATTTCTTCGCTGCTGTTATCATTGCTTTTACATTTGGCGAGATAGGAAAGGGGACACATGATCAACCAAATTTCTTAGCTCAACTTGCTCAGGTTTGGGAAAGTTGGAGTGTTTTGTCAATATTCTAGCCATTCAATTCAAACTATAGTAACATGTGCTGCGTTTAATTGTTATTACCTTTAAAGCTATACATCTAAATGCATGCTTAGCTTTGAAGTTATCTGTGCAGGATAATTGGCAGTCAGTAATGTTTGCAATGGCAGGTGGTGTGGTCCTTAGCATAGGGAATCTCTCCACACAATATGCATTCGCTCTAGTTGGTCTTTCGGTTACCGAAGTGATCACATCAAGCATAACTGTTGTTATAGGTATCTCATTGACATAATCTGTCCAAAATTATAAAACTACTTAACAAGCTAAGCAACTACTTCTTTTAACAAGCTCTAGAAAACGGCTATAAAGCTAAATTCTGCTGTATTAACTTTGTTCCATTTGTCACAGGAACAACATTAAATTACTTTTTGGATGACAAAATCAATAAAGCTGAGATTCTTTTCCCAGGAGTTGGTTGCTTTTTGGTTGCAGTTTGTCTAGGCTCTGCTGTTCATTCATCAAATGCTGCTGATAATTCCGCTAAGCTCAAGGATTTTTCAAATGATCATAAAGATGCACCCTTGTATGTATTATATGCTTGTAGCTTGTCTAGTTATGACCTTTAATAATTCCTAGGCATTATTTCATGATCCTACTGTTTTTTTTTTTGCCAGGGATTCCTTGAGAGAAGGAAACATAGGTGAGAACCTTCAACAAGGTTCAACTTACAGGATTACATAATTTAACAATATGCTAATTTTTTCTACCTTTTCAATGTGTATAATAATAGTTAAATCAAAGGATATTGAAAGTGGAAGCAATTCTGCAGATAGGTTGAAAGCAGGAAGTGCAGGTTTTCTTATAGAGCTTGAGAAAACAAGAGCTATTAAGGCATGTGACTATAATCTATTATTGGATGATACTTCAAAAAATCATCTTGCCTTGGTCACATATCTTACTCTTAAAGTTCTGCTGCAGGTTTTTGGGAAAAACACATTGATTGGATTGAGTATAACATTCTTTGCTGGAATTTGCTTCTCTTTGTTCTCACCAGCATTCAACTTAGCAACAAATGACCAATGGCACACTTTAAAAAAAGGGGTTCCCCATTTGAATGTTTACACCGCCTTTTTCTATTTTTCAGTATCTTGTTTTGTTATCGGCGTAATTCTAAACATCATTTTCCTCTACCACCCTGTGTTAAATTTACCCAAGTCGTCGTTAAAAGCTTATTTGAGAGACTGGAACGGTAGAGGATGGGCCTTGTTGGCTGGTTTTCTTTGTGGATTTGGGAATGGACTTCAGTTTATGGGAGGTCAAGCTGCTGGATATGCGGCAGCAGATGCTGTCCAAGTGAGTTTTGTTACATCTATAAATACAGTTTAATGACAACATCTTTGTGTGTTTAGATTTCAAAGAATGATTTATTGATTTGAATGTGTTGATATGAAACAGGCACTTCCACTTGTGAGTACATTTTGGGGGATTGTTTTGTTTGGAGAGTATAGGAGATCATCACGAACAACATATACGCTGCTTGGGAGTATGTTGTTTATGTTTATTGTGGCTGTTGGTGTGCTCATGGCATCATCAGGGCATAGGAAACATTGATTAAACTTTTTTAGTTATAGAACAGTATACCCATTATTAGTTTGAGTCACACATGTTATGTAGTAGTAATAAGAAAAAGTTTATAAATTTTTTGAGTCAGTGTTTTGAATTAAATTGTGTTTAATAGTTTTTCTGATACATTAAGTTGTGTATAATAAACTTCCAAAATTAACATTTGTGTGATGAAATATTTATCCAAAGTTTATATCTTTTGATTAAAAGTATCCTATCTTTATTATAGATTTATATACTTTTATGATTATTTATTATTATGATTAGTAGCATAAGAAAAAAGTATTCCGAATGTCTCTAACCTTTCAACAAATGTAAAGGTTTCAGAGAAATCTATACCTTCTTGTTGATTGTAGGACTCAGCTACAAGTCTAGTTTTATTCCTTACTACTTCTCATTATTCGTTGAACTTGTTTCTGAAAATTCATTTTGTTCTAATAATATTCTTTTGATGGAGTTTGGATATCAGATCCCAAACATCAATTCTCTAAACTTGATTCAGCTCTTCTTGTATTGCCACAATCCATCCATCATTTGATAGTGCTTTATCAATAAAAGTAGGTTCAATCATGGAAATAAGTTCCAACATGGAATCTTTTTTCTGAAGGTAGGTATTGTCTTCCTAGGACTATCCTTATTTCCAATGATCAACTCTTCATGGTGTGAAGACTTATACTTGAAGGTCTTCTTGAATTGTGTTGCTAACTGAGAACCATCATGAGTTTGTTCAGACGCTCCTTCATCTGGATGAGTTTCAGAAGTTGGATCAACTTGTAGACAACCATCTTCTGATGGTTGAACAACTTCTGAGCATACAACCTTTAAAGGTTGAGCAATTTCTGAACAATTAGCCACTACAGATTGACAGACTACAGAACAATCAGTGCCAGAAGTGTCTTCAAATACCTGTAATTCTGTAAAACTTTCAACAAGCTCTAACATTATATTGTCAGACTCTTTGTCATCAAATTTGACATGTATTAACTGTTCAATCATTATGGTATCAGAGTTATATGTAACACCTAAATCCGAAGAGGACGACGAGTAGATGTAACACCCGAGGTCGAAAAGGACGAATAATGGTAGCCAAATTCGCATCAGAATGAGAGGGATCCTAAGGATGTTGTTGTACCCCAAAATTTTCCCTCTCATCTATCAAGAAAATCTCTCACAAGATCTCCATTGATTCAAGACTGCACAAGGTTTGATCAGCTCAATACACCTCCTCAAGCACTAATAGCTGAAAATTAGGGTTTGAATTTGCACAAGGATAATTGAACTTTTAATGTCCCATATGACTTTCATGAATCATTTTAGACCCTCAAGATTGTTCATGTCAAGTTTCAAATCTTAGATCACATTGTTTGCTCAATCAATTGATCAATTGACCTAAAATCAGCTATATTGAGGAAAACGTCAACTGTGGTCAATTTACAGTCAAACTTCATAATTTTTTATTCATATCAACATAATAAACTCATACATATAATTTGATCAAGTTTGGATCATAATTCCTCAAGAAATTTGATCAGATCATCAAAAGAGCAAAATGGTCAAAATTAGGGTTTTGACTGAGAAGATGCAATTTTTTACTTTTGACTTAGAAAATGACTTATTGGTTTGAGAGATGATATCAAGGATTCAAATAATTCATTTTTACCTAATGGCATGACTCAAAATATTTCTCAAGATCAATTGATTGATAGTTGAATTTCAGTCAACTGATGAAAAGTCAACTGTACACTGAAAAGTCAAATTTTGACTTTTCGATCAAGATCAAGTTTCAAAGATTACAATTCATCAAGACATGTCAAAATATGAAACTTGTTCATCAAGAAATCAAAAACTCAAGATTTCATTTTGAAAAGTCAAAATTTCTAAACTTAGAATTTTTTCTAAGTGTTGGAAATTCACATTTTTTTTCACAACTTTGAGCCAAATTTACACCATGATACAAGATGATTCAAAGGAAACTTACAACATGAAAGTTGTAGATCTTAATGAGACATAAAACATTGTAGAGCAGAAATTTTTCTATAAATACTTGGATTTCAAGTTATGATTTTGTGAAGACATGCTCATGAAACTTGAAAACTTAGTGAAATTTTTCCCTAGTTTAGGCATGATTTTGACCTAACTTAATGGGAATTTTTCACATAGTTCCAAGATGAATCTTCAAAAATGTCCAACATGAAGGTTGTAGGGAATGTTACAATCTTTCTAAAATATCCAAGAACTCATTAAGGTCATACTTGAGCTAAGAGAATCGAAGGCAAGAAGTTAGAGTTTTCAAACTTGAATTACAAGTCATTTCTTGATGAACACATAATCCAATCTCAATGTTAGGATGCATAATATTGCTTTGCAGGTCTTCTAACTTGTTTATCTATCCACAATTAATGAATTACATAAACTTTTGAGCTATAATCCAAGTGGTTTAAGTATTGTCCAATTTAATTTTCCATTTTGAGAAGAAAGTTAACAATGCCATTCTTGAAAAGCAAGCTTTATGCACAAAGTCAATTCTTGAGCCTCTCACTTGTTCCCTCTGATCACACTCCATCTACAAAGTCAGAAGCAAGTTTGTTTAAAGCATAACCACTCTACAATAGCAAGTACAAAAGGCATTGAAACTTGATTTCTCAAGAAAATCACGTGTTGAGCTTAAACATGTGATTTTGAATTTTGATCAAATACAAGTCTCCAAACTTGTTGCTTATAAATAGAGGCCCTATTTGCAAGTTAACACACGAGCTTAAGCACCCTGAAACTCTCTCAAACACTTGCAAACCAGAAATTTTCCAAAAACTCCATTGATGCACATATTCTGACTTTGAACTTGCAACTCACAATTCCCTCGTGCGTTTTCCTTCCTAATCAATCACAAAGCTCTTACACATCAAATATAGTCCATTCCCATCCCTGTTCCACAACTGTAACTCCATATTCATCAACCTCTATAACCAAAAACAGAGCTCTTCAAGTTGACTTCTCCAGGCCATTTTAGCCATCCATTGCTCAAGCTAATCATTGTATTAGCTTCTTGGGAACTTGAGGAAGCTAACCTGATCATTGCAGCACCTTGAATCAAGCTCATTTGTATTTCACAATTTCCAGTTTTGAGGTATCTTTTCTGAACTTCTATCTTTTCATTTAGGCATTGTTAAACTTGCATTTGTGAAGATAAAATATAGACATCATTGCCCTAAAACTGTACATGTTCATAGATTTCATTTATATTGATTGAGCTTAGAGAATTTTAGGTTTGAATCTTTGAAGAAAGTTAGGTCAAAATTTGGTACTTTTAGAAATTCTCATTCATCTTTGATTTATAGCTTATGATATTTATATGGTTGGGTTCGTATGGAAAATTGGAGCAACTTTCATGTTTGCATCTTTCATTTTTGTTGAGAAATGAGCAAGTTACAAGAAACATGGCTGGAGGTTGAAGATGAAGTCATTTTCAGGACTTGACTTGTGTTATGTATTTATTGTTTTATTTATGTTACCGGATGTACAACCACCTCAATAACAAAGGTAGCGCGCGTGTATGGTAAGGGTCATGGGTTCAAGTCCCAACGCTACTTTTTGTTCATTTTTCCCCATATTTTTCTCTTTTTTTTGTCACAAACAACAACGCCTGGGCCTCCATCTTTGAGCCTTGTCATTTTTGCTGACTTCTAACCCATTGTCTTCTTTCACACACCTGGCCCAAACTTTCTTTTATTATTTCATTTTTATTTATTCTCTTTTTCTTATTTTATTTTATTTCATTTTCTTTATTATTTTTTATTACTATTATTATTATCATTATTATTATTTTTATTAATAAAAAAATCCAAAAATATTTTTATTTATTATGCTCACATTTATGTTTTTATTTTCTTTATAAAACATAAAGAACAAAAATATTTTCTTAACAATTTAATTTCTTTTTTTAATAAATAATAAATAGAATTAGGTTTTATTATTTTCTTTTTATTAATTAAAATTAACTTAGAACTTAAATTTCTTTTAATTAATTAATTACCATATTATTTTTATTACACTTAAAACCTTTTCATAAAAAAAACCTAAAAAATATTTCAAACTTAATTTCTTTTCTTTATTAGTTTAGGTTTAATTTTATTTAATTTTAATTAATCATTTTCTTAATTAGGTCAAAACTAAACCCTTTCATTAAAACCAAACAAAAATCATTTCTTTTCCATTTATCTTCTTGTATATTTATTCAATTCTTGTACATTATTCAATATGGTTGTAATAGATAATTAAATTTAATTTTCTTGCAATCTCCATTTGTAAATTTGTATACCCCCTCCCCTAATGATGTAATAATGTAGTAATTTTACTTTCCACAATTTATCACTTTTATATAAATGTTAGTAATTATGGTTTGTATGACAAGATTAAAATCAACAATTAGTAAACCCTAATTCAAGATAAACAATGCATGTAAATCAAATACATTTGCACACTTACACCCTTAGGATAATTCCACTTTGTTGCCTTACAAAAATGGTCATGTTATGCATGTGGAATGTCTTAGCAAAAAAAAAATACAAGATCATGGTCCCTCGATGACGCTACAAATGTTGCCTTTCAAAATGATCTTAGTCCCTCAAATAGAAATGCTAAGATATCTCACAACATTGCTATCATGACTATACGATGACCCACGCCTGTCCCTTTACATCCAAAGATAAGACTTCTTACCAAATCAATGGTAAGATAGCAATATCAAAGGAAGGAAGAAATGAACAAAGACTTTTGAGTAGGTAGATTGTTCCTAGTTGCTTGCTCACTTTCAAAATAAACATCCTTGCTTATTTTCAAAACAAACACCAAGCACTTTCAAAAACACTTTCAAAAACACTTTCAAAAACAAACTTTCAAAACATGAAATATTTTCAAAAGTCCAACATTTTGTATGCGTTCTTATGAACGAGAACTATTACAAAGTTTACCTAAACGAAGACGCCTTTTCA